ACTTAACCTGCAAGCCCCATCCCCCACCTCGCCCCTATGTCACGCCTTGGTAGAAGCTGGAGTTTAGGGGCTGTGTGTCCGTGTACTTGGGACGTGGGGCAAAGGGACCAACCAGCAGTGAGCAATGCAATGTCTCAGGGCTCAGCCTGCAGTTGACACCCCAGGTTTAGGACCTGAATCTGACCTCTAGAAACTCAATGCTCAATATCGATCCTGCCAGCTGGGTTCAGTGTTTCACCAACATGCTGGAAACTTGTGGCAAACGAAGGTGAACAGCCAGGGAACACGAATCACACCCACACACAGTTGTCACAGCGTTGACTGACCCGTGGGGCGCCCGCCTGCGTCGGGCACAACAAAGCCTCACAGGGTGCTCTTTGGCTGGCTGCTCATAAGAAGATCACCAGGCCTCTCTTCTGAGGTGCCTCTGAGTGGTCTCCACCCTTTCACTTAGCCGCCAAGCGCCTTAACATTTGCACCAACAAGAGATCCCAGGGAATACCTAGGAACTCTCTGTTCCTGACTATGAGATGCAATCATATACATAATTATACAGTGCTTGTATACAATTATATCATTAAGCGATTGAATGCCATTCTTAATTATGCAACTAGTAAGTGGATAGTGGTATAATATTATATGATAAACACACTATCTAATTAATATATCATAACTATTATTATATAATACTTATGGTATCACTTTTCTCTCTTTCCTCTATGGCTTCACAGTGGCGGGGAGTCTATTACCACATCACTTACCTCCCTCATTTAATATCGAGAAGCATTAAGGAGCCATGGTAGTGCTGTGGGTTAGGCGCTGAGCTGCTAACCAACCACAAGGTGGATGGTTCAAACCCACCAGCTGTACCACAGGAGAAACATGAGGCAGCCTGCCCCTCCACGTGGGGGCGCTATGAGCCGGCCTGGACTTGATGGCAGTGGCTTCCGGATGGTAGCTGGTAAGAGAAGGTGTCTTCCAGAGCCACACCTCCAGTGGACGGGCTCCTGGCTCAGGTCAGCCCAGAATCCCTTCCCAGTGCAACCTGACCCACCTCCTGTGTTCCTTCAGCTCAGTCACTTGTGCTGTACCTGAGATGCAGGTATACCCCTAATGTGCATGTGTATCCAGAGAGAGAGAGAGATTGGGACAAACTGAAAACTTGCACACTGAAGCCTTTCAGCACAACCCCTCAGGCCTACCTCAGAGATCTCCCCCCACCACCACATCCCCCCGCCGCCCCAACACACACACAAATCTAATGAAAATTTTCTCCAAAATTCTTTCCTGAAACATTCGCCCCATCATTGGAGCAAACCTCTGTGAAGCAATAGTTAAAGACACAATCAGAGAGGGTAAAGCTTTTTGCCAAAAGATAAAACCGTTTGGACCCAAACTACGGGGAATGCGTGAGTCTTTGTTTTCCAGCATGAAAATTGCATGTTTATTCAAAGCAGATGTGGCTTTGTGACATTGGCTTGGGGGTGGGGCAGTGGGGGTGGGGTGGGGGAACCCCAGAGAGTCCTCAGGATGGAAAGAAAAGCACAGAGAGTCTTTCCCAAAAGGCAGAACAAACAAGAGCGAGGCCTGGCTGCCACTCAGCCTTCACAGAAAACAGAACCCAGGCGGAGACGTGGAAGCACGGTGGAGCCAAGAGGGGCCACATGGAGACTGCAGACGACAGGGATGCCGAGAGAACGGGACAGTCCTGAGACCCCCAGCCAGGGACTGCCCTCTGGTCTCTGCTGGTCACCCCACCTCCACCCCAGGGGCACTGGCCCCCTGTGACACCCACAGTTTCCCTAAGCTCCCCGCCCACCCCTTCTGAGAAGGGCTGAGAGGTTGAATCATGTCTTTTTGCAGCAGGTGCACAAACAACAGAGGGTAGGGGCAGAGGGCAGTCAGTCTGACCCTGGGGGCAGCGCTGGTTCCTGGTACCCTCGGCCCTTTTTAATAGCACTGTGGGAGAGCAAGCCGGGTAAAGAGGCCCCAGTGTGACTCTCCTCTCCGAGGAGACCTGGAAGCACAGCAGGGTAAATGCTGGGCCGTTAACCAACCGCAAAGTCCATCAGCAGTTCGAATCCATCAGCTGCTCCTAGGGAGACAGATGAGGCAGTCTACTCCTGTAAAGACTGGAGATCTCAGGAATCCCAGGGAGCAGTTCCAGTCTGCCCTACAGGGTCACTAGGAGTCTAAATGCACTTAAGGGCAGTTGGGTTTGCCTCCTCCCCAGCCCCGAGCCCCCTCTCTCTGCCCATGGGGACATTTCCATGGTGTGGCTGTCAGGGTACCTGCCCTAACACATCATCACAGATCCGCTAGGCGCAATTGTACAGCGATAAGCAAAGATTATATTAAAGTCATAAAGAGCATGCGAGATAGAAGAGAGATGGAAATAATGGAGTCAGATGCAATTCTAGGAAGCAATGCTCACCTCAGCCTTGCTTGGTGGTCCACGTAGAGAGAGAGAGAGAGATTTATTGCTAACCAAAAATTTTATATTCTCTGGGGACATGCAAGCCCCCTAATTACAGGTGAAGACATACATCACAGGAAAGGGTTGTGCTATAGGTAATAATACAGTAATGGGAGGGGG